GATGCTCAAAGAGACCCAGGATGGGAGCGAGGCTTTAGGGTTTAGGGTTGGGTTTAGGGTTTAGGGTTTAGGGTTTAGGGTTTAGGGTTTGGGGTTTGGGGTTTAGGGTTAGGGAAATAGGGGTTAGGATTAGGGGGACCCTTGGGGATATAGACCCTCTCAATAAGGTCCCTGTTAAGAGAGCCAGAAGTAGGGTTCAGAAGGGGTACCCTTTAAGGGGTACCCCTAATAATACTACCTACAGGAGACATGGACCCGAAACCATGAGAACTTAGCAGGCTTTAGGGTTTTAGGGTTTAGGGTTTTAGGGCTTGGGGCTTTAGGGTTTAGGGTTTAGGGTTTAGGATTTAGGATTTAGAGTTTAGGATTTAGGATTTAGGGTTTAGGGTTTTAGGACTTAGGGTTTAGGGGGGCCAGGCCCCGAGATCTGAATATACTCCGTCCTGTTCGGGGCCCGTCGTCTGACACAGTCACGTCTGAGCACGAACACCACACATCAACAAGTCCATGACCCAGAGAACCCAATACACTTTAATTAGGGAATTTGCCTTGAATTATCGGGGCCTTAGTATTATGATTTAAAATATATTCCTTATAACTAAAGGGTATTGGGTTCTCTGGGGACACGATAACAGCTCGATTCCCCGGCCCCACCGACCCACCCCCACCACCAGAAATAGACAGCAAGCGCTGCATTTTAGACGGGAAACAACCTCCAATACCAACCCCAAACCCTAAACCCTAAACCCTTAACCCTGAACCCTAAACCCTAAACCCTAAACCCTAAACCCCTAAACCCCGAACCCCAATCCCCGAACGGTGCTGTGTACCAGGGCATCCTTCTTGCTCTGCAAGGGCAGCAATGCACCTCAACTGCCCGAGCTACTGCGCTGAGAGTTGCGAGATGCTGTAGGACTAATATAGGGGCCTTAATAATTAGAATAGGGTTTTGGGGGTTCCTTTAACAGGGTTTTGGGGGTTCCTTTAGAGGGCTCCTTAAAGGGTTCCTTAAAGGGTTCCTGAAAGGATTCTATAAGGGCTAGTATAAGGGTTTAGGGTATAGGGGCCTTTATGATTAGAATAGGGTTTCGGGACACCTTACAATATAAATACAATAAGGAACCCCCAAAATAGTATTGGTTGTTATCAAGGCCTCTACCTCCTACGGCTTTAAGTTTTCAGGGACCCAGGTCTTAGTAACTCGCCTTTCAGGAACCCGTATATGGAACTCCACGAACACGAAACCCTAAACCCTTCACAGCCTTATATAACCCCTAGAGAAGCTTCTCTCCTGTAAACCCGAAACCCTAAACCCTAAACCCACCAAAACATACCTTACCAAAAGGACGGAAAACAACCGCGGTGGAGCTGTGCAAGCTGCCAGGCTCTGGGCTAAAGGCAGATACTTGGGGCTTTGGGGTGTAGGGTTGAGGGGTTTAGGGTTCATTGGTTTAGGGCCGTTTAGGGTTTAGGGTTTAGGGTTTAGGGTTAAGGGCTGAGGGCTTGGGGTTCGGTAGTTTAGGGTATAGGGTTTACGGTTTAGGGCTTGGGGTTTGGGGTTTAGGGGCTTCGGGTCCTCTTGTTTAGGCTTGAGGGCCTGAGGTTCAGGTATGTTCAGGTTCTAGGGTGCGGTTTAGGGTTTAGGGTTTAGGGTTTAGGGTTTAGGGTTTAGGGTTTAGGGTTTAGGGTTTAGGGTTTGAGATTGAAGGGTTCAGGTTCAGTTAGGGTTTACATAGCCGGATTCCGGCAGTCGTCGAAGGCTCATTCGGAGGCTTGCTAAACCGTAAGCCCTGACTTCCTTCCTGCCCAAGGGGCAAGCAGCCAGGTACTCAAACTCGTAGTTGTCCTGCGAATGTGGTGGAAAGCAAGAGTCCGCGGGCCCGCTTGTGGAGAAAAACATATGCTCTGAGCCCGAGTCTGGAATCGGCGGCGGGTTTGGGGTTCGGGGTCTTGGGAATGAGCTTGAGAGCAAGTGAGGGCCTACGAGTTCGCTTTGAAGACAAAGCTTCTCCTCGTTGGCAAGCTCGCCGCAGCCCTGCCGGAAAAAATGAAGAGGCTCCCAGTGGCTCCAGGGTTCTAGGGAACTGCGCCCTCACTGTGCATTCTGTTGGGGCTTTAGAGCCTTATCAAACTCCAGGCTAGATCAGGGGTGCTTTCGAAATAGCCAGCATTGAGCAAATTATCATCAACGTAGCACACGGTGATACTGGACCCCTTCTGCCTGTTCACATGGCATCAGGACCATGCTACTGGCATTCGACGAAGCTTGATGGCGTTAAGTTACTGCGTATGCTTAACAGGCCAAGCAGATCTTGAACAGTTCGTTCGGAGGACCTCTTCTCACGCTGCAACCGAAGAAGAATACGCCAACAGTCAAGTCAGAAATCGAAGCGTGGGATCATCCGGAGACGACAGTGCCTTCATTGCATGTCCACTTACCGAAGCTCTCAAAAGAGGCTTTTAGGGGTTTAGGGCTTAGGGTCAGGGGTTGAGGGTTTAGCGCTTAGACCTTCCTGGCGGTGGTATTGTTGATGATATAAATCTTGCATTACCTTAAGGACCCTAAACTATGGGAAGCATGGTATATTGCTTATGGCTTATGATGGGTAATGCAGGATTTCTATCATCAACCGTAGGGACACCTGGAAACCCTCACTCACGGCCTCCCTCAGCGAAGTCTGCTTCGAGTCCATCAGCAAGGGGCTCTTGAAGAGCTCGTGCAAGTGCTGCAGGCCGCCTCGCGCAGTTTGTTTACGGTTTAGGGCTTAGGGTTTAGCCACATGAGCTACTGTCCATGAGGGGCCATGTTATGGTCCCTACATCGAGGGTTTAAGGTTTAGGGGTTTAGGGTTTAGGGTTTAGGGTTTAGGGTTTAGGATGGTCCCTACATCGAAGTCTATGCCCCTCCTCACATGGGCTTCAGCGAGGCCAGGATATCAGGCTGCCATACTGGCCAGGATGTCGGAATTTGGTTTTTGACTTGTTGAGATTGCTGTTTAGGCCCGGCTTGTCCAGCGCAGAGCAATACTGAGTGCAGAAAGGTTAATGTATCTATCAATTCAAACCACAAGCCCGAAGCCCAACAACCCCACAACCCTAAACCCTCCACACCACCATGTAGCGGCTTGAATAATTAGAATACGGTTTTGGGCTCCTTTATGGAATTACTCTAATCGGGAACCTTACAGTCATATTGGTAACTATTTAGGCTTCTATATTTCCTTAGAATGCAGAAAAACTCCTCTCTCCTGATCCAGGTTGAGAGGCTTGCTTGTCTTTGGGACTTTGCGATAGGGGTGTGACAGGGTTAAAGTGTAGGGCTTTCGGGCCTCGGGTTTAGGGTTTAGGATTTAGGGTTTAGGGCTTAGGGCTTAGAGTTTAGGGTTTAGGGTTTAGGGTGTTCCAGACCTGAAGCAAGACTTCCTGCACAGACCCTGGCAACACAGAGCTCTACTTGGAGGCTCATGGCTAGTTACACCTGGGTCATAAGCAAGATCACCGAAAAGGGCAAGGGCTTATCACCTCACGGAAAGCTACCCATGATATGAATCAATGAACCTCCAAGCAGCAGTTCTAGCACGGAACCCTGAACAGAAATGGCACTACTCGGAACAACACTTATTCTGGGATCCTGAAAGGCTAGCGGCTAGCAATGGAAGATTTGAGGGAAGAGAATGCAAGAGAAAGGGGAGTTGACGAAACCCCTGGAACAAGAAAAAGTAATACGCTCCTATCTGCCCGAGCCCTTTGGTAACTCTTCGAATGGCCCCTGAATAAAGACTTCCCCTAAACCCTAAACCCTAAACCCTAAACCACTTGCGCCCGACCTCGTCCTGGCTCCGAAACCTCAAGGTGTCGAAGGATCTTTGATTCAGTACCTTCCTGACTTCCACGCCTGTATAGGTTCATCCATGTCTCCATTTGCCCATCATCCATCCATTCATCAATTCATCCATCCTTCCTTCCTTCCTCCCTCCCTCCCTCCCTCCCTCCCTCCCTCCCTCCCTCCCTTCCTTCCTTCCTTCCTTCCTTCCTTCTCCCTGCCTTCCATCCCTTCACCCATCCGTCCATCCACCCATCCATCCTTCCTTCCAAGTCCATGCATCCATCAGTACATTCACACTCCTTCATTCTAAGGACTTTAGGAGGGGCCCCTAATAGGGACCCTTAATGCCAGTACCTTAAATAACCATTGTATAGTCCTTATATAGCCAGGCAGTCTCCATATTAACCCCAATAAACTACAAGACTCCCCATTAAGGGTCCCTCCTAAAGCCCTGGCCTTAGATTCATGGCTAGTGACATGCCTTGCTGCTCTTCGCCCTCAGCCTGGAGCTCGGCCACGTGAAACCTTTAAAGGGTTCCTTAAAGGGTTCTATAATTCTATAAAGGTCTACTATAAGGGCTTAGGGTATACGGGCCTTAACAATTAGACAAGGGCTTTGGGCTCCTTTATGGTATACTTATAATAAGGAACCTTAACAATAAGATCGTAATTATTTAGGCTTCTATATTGTTTGTTATTGTTCTGTGCAGCTGTCAGCAGAAAACTGCTTGTCCTCTTTGTGTCCTCAGCCCCAAAGATAGCATCACTCTTCACGATCATACGACGCAGCCTCACACTCATCTTTTATTACCGGCCTTTGGATCACCAGCCCTTGCCGAACCCAGAAAATTTGCCACCGGTGACGGGAATCGAAAGGGGCGGCAGTACTGAGAATAGGTTTCTTGTAAGAAAGGGGTGGTATATGGAAGAATGGTTATCATTTAGGGCTCGCACTAAAAACCCTAAACCCGAAACCCTAAACCCTAAACCCCTCAACATCAAACCCTAAACTCCAAAAAGTTGAACCCCAACAAAACTCCAAAACCCGAAATTACGACAAAACCCCGAATCCTAAACATTAAGATCATGAGGTTTGACTCCCGAGGGTTTTCGACCCGAAGCCCTGAACCGAAGATGCCAGCTCTTGGGTTCAGGGTTTAGGGTTTAGGGTTCAGGCTTTAGGGCTTAGGGTTTACGGTTCAGGCTTCAGGGTTTAGGGTTCAGGCTTCAGGGTTGAGGGTTCAGGCTTTGGGGTTTCAGGGTTCTTGATGTTTCGGGTTTACGGCTTCAGCGTTTCAGGGTTCTTGATGTTTCGGATTTGGGGTCGAGGGTTTCAGCGTTCTTGGTGGTTCGGGGTCATAGGGTTTAGGGTCCAGGGCCCTGACTTGTGGCAATCTCAAAGCACTGCAAACTCGAACCAGAAGTAAACAACTTTTGGACCCTGTGAGGGCTTCGAACAGGAAGACCCTGTCATCTGACTCACTATCATTGCTACGGCTGATGATATAAATCCTGCACCACCCATAGTAAGGAATATACCATAATTCCGATAGTTTAGGGTCCTTAAGGTAATGCATGATTTATATCATCAACCGTATAGATACTTTTCGGGATCGTGTTCTGAATAGTGAGTCTGAGGGTGACTATGACTATGACCAAGACTATGACTGAACCGATGACTAGGACTAGGGCTATGACTATGACTCTGACTATAACTATAAGTCGTCGTCGAGGAGGATTTCGGTTCTGTTACCATATTCCGTAGTACATATGGACGAGCTGCCAAGGTCATCAGCAGAAGATCTGGCAGTAGGAGGTTGGCCATGCGGTGAGCTTTGCTCGACAGAGCCTGCTCCAGCTGCCACATTGTTGGGTTTAGGGCTTAGGGTTTCGGGCCACGGATCTTGAATTCAACAAATGTGCCCCTGTGCCTTCGTCAATTCTGATCCGGAGGGTTTCCCACATACTAGGGCTTCGGCAACTCTGGGGACTGGGTCGTAAGGGAAGGTTTGGGGTTTGGGGTTTAGGGTCTTGCCAAGGAAAGGAGTCGCCGCGGTAAAACACCGTGCCCTGGCTCGCGCGTGGGGCAGACCAGACCACTGCGGTTGACAGACGAAAAAAGTGACACGGTTTTGGGGGCTAAGTAGAAAATCCGAAACCCTGAAACCCTGAAACCCTAAACCCTAAAACTCTGAAACCCTACACCCGAAACCCTAACCCATAAACTCTGAAACCGTAAACCCTCAACCCACAACCCTAAGCATGAACCCTCATTCCTAAATACGGACCCAGAGACTCCAATATCCCTTAATTAAGGAATATACCTTAAATTTTAGTAGGACCCCTAATATGATTTAGGGTATCTTCCTTAATTAAGGGATATTGGAGTCTCTGGGGAACCATAAAGCCTAGGTCCTAAAACTTGAAGGGCGCTGACTCTTATCCCAAGGCTTCAAACCCAAACCCGGGAAGCCGCAGGGTCAGATTTTCACCTGAAAAGAAAGTAGGGCCCCATACATAAGCAAAAATTAGGGTTTAGGGTTTAGGGTTGAGGGTTTAGGGTGTAGGCCCAAAGGATAGGGATATCCCGTATAAATCCCGTTATAATGAAGCCCAATAAGGTAGGGATATCCCTATAAAATGCTTATGCTTATGTCCTTTTGGGGTTCCTAAGAAACAGGGCCGAATCTTCCCCTCTGAGAGCGCCAGCAGGGAGAAGGGCCGGGTAGGTTGAGGGCACTCGAAGTAGAAAACACCGAAAGTCTTATTTAGGGTTTAGGGTTTGGGGTTTAGGGTTTAAGGCTTCGGGTTAAACCCTCAACCATCTCATGTAAGAACCTGATTAAGAAACCCTGGCTCTATAACCCCAATACATTAGGGTTCATATTAAGAACCCCAATAAAGGCCCAGGGTGTCTTAATCAGGTTCCTACATTAGCAGTGTCTCAAGTCCCACACTCTGTGCTTCAGAAAAAGCTACTACCAGGGCCTTAATAGTAAGATTAGGGCTTTTAGGATGAATATACTATAATTAGTTAGAATAAGGAACCTCCAAAATAGTATTGGTAATTCCTCAGGCCCCTACATGCATACGGTTGATGACATATACCCTGCATTACCCCTAAGAGGGAATGTACAATAATTCCCATAGTTTAGGGTCTTAAGGTAATGCAGGATTTATATCGTCACTAGTAGCATCAGCCCTCTATCTTCACTGTGCCCAGCCTTTTCACGGCTCGAGGCTCAAGGCCCGGGACTTCTGCGCCCCTCTGATTTCGTAGCGTTTAGGGGGTTTAGGGTTTAGGGGTGCCTCGCCTTATGCATCTCGCCCGCTTGGCCAGTGTCCTGCACAAACAGCCAGAAAGAACATAGGTTTTTTGAAAAACAAAGGTTTTGGGTGCTTTAAACACCTTACCTAGTCACAGCCAGATGATACACCGCGCACAGTTCTAACCCTTCTTCTCAACATTCGATCATCGAGTTGGACCAGGGAGCTAAGCAAGAACAGCTTGCAAACCTTAAACCCTGAACCCTAAACCCATACACCCTAAACCCTAAACTCTCAACCCTAAACCCGACTTGAATTTCTACTTTCAACGACACTCCAGAGTTTAAGAAGTCCGGTAGAGGAATAAGAATCCTCTGCTGATCGATACATGCGCGCCAAGACAAGCAAGTACCTGAGCTTCGCAGGGTAGGGTTTAGCAAGCGCGCACAACTTCAAGATTATGTATATATGATATGCCACTTCAAACTATCAAGGACCCTTATCCCTATGTCCCTACAGGCCTCAACCCTAAGCCCCTAAACCCGCTAACGTTGGTCGTGATTCTGTCTCAGCTTCAATCCTAGCCTACTCTCGATATTC